CGGATTTTGCCGTTTCGTTTTTTTTTTGTGTGTGTGTGCGATCATTTCTGTACCCTCCTAAGATTATCACGGGGCCGGCATGAGCGTTAAATGGATGGCTGGGCCTCCATTTCATGCATGAGGGGACGGCGGCCCAGGACGGGCAGCCCTCACCCCCATCTCCCCTGCCCCCTCCTCCCCGAAGAGACCTCCGCAAGGGCCTGGTGGTGCTGGGCGCTCATGACCTCCGTGCCGCAGAGCCTACCCAGCAGGTGTTTGGCATCGATGCCGTCACCAGGCACCCCGACTACCATCCCGTGACCCACGCCAACGACATCTGCCTGCTGCGGGTGAGCCCCGGGGCTGGGGTGGCCGATGGGTGGCACATTTATTTTTTTAGAGAGTCTCCCTGTGTTGCCCAGGCTGGAGCTCAATGGCGTGATCTTGGCTCACCGCAACCTCCGCCTCCCGGGTTCAAGCGATTCTCCTCCCTCGGCCTCCCGAGTAGCTGGGATTGCAGGCGTGCGCCACCACGTCCGGCAAATTTTTTGTATTTTTAGTAAAGATGGGGTTTCACTATGTTGGCGAGGCTGGTCTCAAACTCCTGACTTCAGGTGATCCACCTGCCTCGGCCTTCCAAAGTGCTGAGATTACAGGCAGGACCTAGTTGGACCTATTTTTTTTTTTTTTTTTTTTTTGAGACGGAGTTTCGCTCTTGTTACCCAGGCTGGTGCAATGGCGTGATCTCGGCTCACCGCAACCTCCGCCTCCTGGGTTCAGGCAATTCTCCTGCCTCAGCCTCCCGAGCAGCTGGGATTACAGGCACGCGCCACCGTGCCCAGCTAATTTTTGTATTTTTAGTAGAGGTGGGGTTTCACCATGTTGACCGGGATGGTCTCGATCTCTTGACCTCGTGATCCACCCGCCTTGTCCTCCCAAAGTGCTGGGATTACAGGCTTGAGCCCCGAGGCCGGCCAGGACCTACTTTTTAAAGGCACGGCTGGGTGTGGCAGCTCACACCCGGAATCCCAGCACTTTGCGGGGGCTGAGGTGGGCAGATGTCGACCACCCTGAGCAACACGGCAAAAACCCCATTTCCACTGAAGATACAAAAATTAGCCGAGCGTGGTGGCATGCGCCTGTGAGAATCACTTGAACCCGGGAGGCGGAGGTGGCAGTGAGCTGAGATCGCACAACTGTGCTCCAGCCAGGGTGGCGGAGTGAGACTGTGTCAAAAGAAAAAAAAAAGTCGTGGCCGGTCATGGTGGCTCATGCCTGTAGTTCCAGCACTTCGGGAGGCCGAGGCGGGTGGATCACGAGGTCAAGAGATCGAGACCATCCTGGTCAACATGGTGAAACCCCGTCTCTACTAAAAATACAAAAATTAGCTGGGCACGGTGGCGCGTGCCTGTAATCCCAGCTACTCAGGAGGCTGAGGCGGGAGAATCGTCTGAACCCAGGAGGTGGAGGTTGCGCTGAGCCGAGATCGCGCCATTGGACTCCAGCCTGGGTGACAAGAGCGAAACTCCGTCTCAAAAAAAAAAAAAAAAGGGAAAGACCCTTTGGGGAGCTGAAGGGTGAGACTGGAGGCCTGAGGGGTGTTGCTGTGTTGACTGAAGCAGCAGGGCCTCCTAACCCAGCCTCACGGCGGTTGACATTGGTTTCTCTTCACAAGGGCAGGACCAGGGGTCACATGGATAAACTGAGGCAGGCAGGAGCAGAGGTGGCCTGAACTTGTGGTCTCTGTGCAGCTGAACAGGTCTGCTGTCCTGGGCCCTGCAGTGGGGCTGCTGGGGCTGCCAAGGAGAGGGGCCAGACCCCCCGCGGCCGGGACACGGTGCCGGGTGGCCGGCTGGGGCTTCGTGTCTGACTTTGAGGAGCTGCCGCCCGGACTGATGGAAGCCGAGGTCCGAGTGCTGGGGCTGGACGTCTGCAACGGCTCCTGGAGGGGCCTTCTGAGCCCTGCCATGTTCTGCACCCACAGTGGGGACAGTCACAGGAGGGGCTTCTGCTCGGTAAGATCCCCTCCCAGCTCCACCCACTTACTATATGGGGAAACCAAGGCACACAGAGAGGGGCAGGGCCAGGAAGGGCCTTGGGAACTGAGTCCCATTGACGTTGGACCAGACCGAGAAGCTGAAGCCCAGGACAGGCAGGGAGTTGGCGACGGTCTCACCGGGCTCCCATGTCCGGCTGTGCAGGTTGTGCACTGCACAAACTACCGCGCGCTTGAGTATTTAGACAAGCAGCGTTCAGCAGAGGGAAGTAACAGATTGACAGGAAGCAGCTCCCACTCATAAAACCCTGTCAGATAAACGAACCTCCTGGTGCCACGGGAGACACTGGGCCTGGAGGGTCTTTCGCCGCAGGCAAGAGAGAGACGTGGTTCAAGCCACACGCTCTGGAGCCAAACAGCCTGAGTCCAGGAGGAAGGAGACTGTCCACTTTCCCGATGTGTGACCTTGGAAAAGTCGCCCGACTCCTCTGGGCCTCTTTTTTTTTTTGAGACGGAGTTTCACTCTTGTTACCCAGGCTGGAGTGCAATGGCGCGATCTCCGCTCACCGCAGCCTCCGCCTCCTGGGTTCAGGCAATTCTCCTGCCTCAGCCTCCCGAGTAGCTGGGATTACAGGCACGCGCCACCGTGCCCAGCTAATTTTTGTATTTTTAGTAGAGACGGGGTTTCACCATGTTGACCAGGATGGTCTCCATCTCTTGACCTCGTGATCCACCCGCCTCGGCCTCCCAAAGTGGTGGGATGACAGGCCTGAGCCACCGCGCCCGGCCCTCTGGGCCTCTTTTTCACACTTCTAGTGTCTACTTGATGGTGTTGGAGCTGATTCCAGATGCCAGTTAGGAGTGTAGGATGAGGGGTTTTAGGGTGAGTATTTGGGGAGCCCTCTCCAAGGACAGCACCTTTCAGCTGAGACTTGAAGGAATCCTTAGAAGATCTGAGGAAACACAGGCAAGGCAGAGAGACCCGTTAGTGGAGGGCTGCCATGTATAGCTGTGTGCGTTGTGCACTGATTACACAGGCAGCATCCAGACCGAGGTGGGAACAAGTTTCCAGGCTATACGAAGGCTGGATCACTGAGGAGGCTGGTGGGGGAGGGCAGAGAAGTGGGTGGGGGCTGGGTCCTCAGGGCCTGGAATGAAGAGGTGAGTTCACTTTCTGCTCGGAGAGCACTAGGGAGCTACAGAGGGTTCTCAGGCAGGGAGGGTGGTGGTCAGCTGTGCCTGCAGCAGCTCCCAGAGGCCCTGACCTCACCTCTCCTTTTACTCCAGGCCGACTCAGGGGGGCCCCTGGTGTGCAGAAACCGGGCCCACGGCGTCGTCTCCTTCTCGGGCCTCTGGTGCGGCGACCCCAGGACCCCCGACGTGTACACGCAGGTGTCCGCCTTTGTGGCTTGGATCTGGGATGTGGTTGGACGGGGTGGTCCCCAGCCGGGCCCCCTGCCTGGGACTGCCAGGCCCTGGGAAGGAGCCCCCTGAGCCACTGCCTTGCGGCATGCAAATGAAATCTCCCCTGCAGGCCTGGAATGTTCCGTGGCCAGGGTAGGGGGTCCGTGGGGCCGCAGACACCGGAAAACCTGATGTGCAGGGTTGGGGTGCGGCGGGTGATGGGTGGGGGCACCCATTCCACATGCAGAGGGCTGAACGGAGCCAAGTAAAATGTTAAGTGACATCCAGCCTCCCCCTCGTCAGCTCCCCCTGGTCCCACCTCCAGTCCCGTTGTGTCTCCTTGTCCACAGCCTCTTTCCACCCTGCCACGTCCCCCACCAGGAACACCTCGGGGTCTCCCTCCGCACCCCTGCCCTGCAACCCACACTCGGAAGCCTCCGCCGATGCCCCGTTCTCCACGAGTAGGCGGGGAAACTCTGGGCTCCCCTGCAGGGTGTGGGAGCCGAGACGGCCACGCGGTGGAATCCCAGGAGGCCTGGCCTCCCATCAGGCCTGGTGTTCATCCTCCGAAAACCACAGAGAAGGGCTCTGGGTGCACACCAAGTCCCAGCTGATGTTATTGTCACGGCTGGTTATATTGTGTCATTTTATTTTATTTTTAGATTTTATTGTTATTACCGTTATTTTGAGACAGAGTCTCGCTCTGTCGCCCGGGCTAGAGTGCAGTGGCGCGATCTCGGCTCACCGCAACCTCCGCCTCCCGGGTTCCGGCGATTCTCCCACCTCAGCCTCCTGAGTAGCTGGGATTAGAGGCACGCGCCACCACACCCGGCCAATTTTTGTCGTTTTAGTAGAGACGGGGTTTCACCATATTGAGATCACCAGGCTGATCTCAAACTCCCGACCTCATGGTCCACCCGCCTCGGTCTCCCAAAGTGCTGGGATTACAGGCGCGAGCCACCGCACCCGGCCAATTGTGTTATTATTGTTATTTTAGAAACAGTATCTCACTCGGTCACCCAGGCCGGAGTGCGGTGGTGCGATCACAGCTCACCGCAGCCTGACACCCTGGGCTCAAGCCATCCTTCCACTTCAGCCTCCTGAGTAGCTAGGCCTACCGGGGCATGGTCCCATGCCTGGGTCATTTTTCTTGTTTTTGTAGAGACGGGGGTCTCACTGTGTTGCCCAGGCTGATCTGGAACTCCTGTCCTCAAGCGATCTGCCCACCTTAGCCTCCCAAAGCTCTGGGATTACCTGGGTGAGCTGCGGCCCGACCCTAATCCTGTTATTATTCTTGCTGTTGCTACACTCAAGTCCTTCGAGCCGAGCCTCCATTCCTGGGCCCCACGCCAGCTGGTTTCTTAGGGCTGCCCTAAGCCATCTTGGCCATCCTGGGTGCCCCTCCCAAAGGGCCTATTTTCTCTCCCTCCCCTCCCACACCGCCTCAGCCCCTCCTGGGCTCATCCACTGCCTTGAGACGCCGGGTCTCCGGGGTCTCTCTTCGGGGTGCCTCTGGAGCCCCACGCAGCATCCCAGGCCCCAGGCTGCCAACCCCACAGCCTGAGGGGGGGTGGCTGGAAGCCCCGAGAGAGGACACAAATTGAAACCTGGACCCTCAAAGTGGTTTCTTTGAGTCTTTATTTCTTTGGTGAGGCCGGACCCCAGGGTGGGGAGGGCAGCCTGGTCGGAGGCTCCCATAGACCCCCCCAGCCCAGGGGCACTTTTCTGGGTACCACAGGTAAGGCACTGCCTAGGGGGGGCTGTAGGAGGATGAGTAAGCTCCCCTCACCCCAAAGGGGGAGCGGCATTTCCTCCATGTCGTCCCCTCCCCATAGCTGGTTTGAGGTTCTGATCTACAAACAGGCACGGGCGGGGGATTCTGAGCGTCAGCCCATGCCGAGGAGGAGCTGGCCCATGACCAGCACCTGGCTGGTGTGGTGAGGCGGGTCCAGCTATGCTGATGGGTGAGGTGGGTCTGGCTGGAGCCTGGGTCTGCAGGCCTGGCCAGGCGGGCTGTGCGGGGACACGGGAGTCCTGTGTGTGAATGCTGATGTGGAGGCAGCAGGCACCCGGGGGTGCTACTGGGACCCCCGGCTCCAGGTCTCCGGGATGCTACACATGTGTGAGTCTTGGTGCCTATACCCCCCCTCAAGGCAGGTGGGTGAGCAGGGGCCCGAGGTTCCTCCCAGAGACACCCCCCAAAGTGGACGGGGCTCCACCAGACACGGTGCCCTGTTCTGAGCTGCTGCTGGCTGCTCCACGTCTGAGACTATGCGATGTCGCCTCATAAACTGATGTGGACCGCAGCGGGGAAGGCGCTGGGCAGTTCTGTGGCTGAACGTGGCCCATATCCCGAGCACTGGCGGTGCCCTTTCCCAGGGGCACACTGGGCATTTCTCAGTGGCCTTCACAGTACGCAAAGGGGCACACAGAGGCAGTGGGGAGGTTGGAGTTCATGGGCTGGTAGGAGGGAACAGTGGCAGCCTTCCTGACCTTCATGAAGGGTCTCTCCTGCTGGGTAAGGTCACAATGTTCTGAGGTCCATCCATACACACCCAGGCTAGACCATCCATTCACACCCAGGCTAGACCTCCTCTGCTCCTCCTGGCCTAAGCCCAAGGCCCCTGTTCTAGGAGGCTTGGGGCTAAGAAAAGCAATCATACCTCTTCAGGAATTACCAGCAGGGAATGCCCAGCCCTCCTGATGGTAGCAACAATTAATAGGTTTATCCCCAAAGGAGCAGAAGTGTGGGGTCCTCCCTGGCAATAGCACTCAGGGTAGGGGCTAAAATGAGCCCTCAGTGCCCAGGAGGCAGGTCTATCCCACCCACCAGCCGGCCCCAGGCCTCCATTCCTCAATCCTTCCAGGATATGGTCAGGGGGCTTTGGGATCCCCAAGTGCTCTGAATCCAGGTTTAGGGAGTGTCTGTGGGATATAAATTAGACTCTGCTGTGGCAATAAATAACAGGGGGTGGTGGGGGGCCTTGGGCGCCAGGCCCAGGCCTGTCCTGCAGGCTCACACGAAGTTCTCTTTCTCCTCCGCCGATTCATCATCTGGGGGCTCCTCAGGGGTGCCTGCAAAGGTGCCTGCAAGTGTCGATAAGAGCAATGAGAGCACAGGACAGGGGGCTCTCTGTTCCCCGGGACAGGCCTGTCTCCCCCGCCCTACGTCTGCACCTGTGCAGCTGCCTGAGTGGCGCACGCCGATGGAGCGGCCCAGAAAGCAGGTGGCCCGGCGCAGGTGGCACGAGGAGATGTAGGTGACGTTGTTGTTGCCGCAGAGCTCCTGGCCGGGGCTGGCGGGCACAGGGCAGGGTGCCGCCCGACACACCACGCAGTGGGCACTGCCAGTCTGGTCCACGACGCACGACTGCGGCCGTGAGCACACCACACGATCACAGGACTCTGCAGGCCAGGTGCCAGGGGCGGTTCAGGGGGCAACTCGCTGAGAACCCCGAAGGGCTCTTGGCCCCAAGACCTGCCCTTGACCCCCAAGTTTCGAGAACCCTCTGGTGGGGGAGACAAGCCCCGCCTCCTCCGTAAGCCCCCCTCCACCCGACCCCTCGGGCTCCACCCACCCGCCCTGCCCCTCCGATTGTACCCAGGAGCCACACCCCTTTCAAGAGCTCCGCTCCTTGTTACCCACAAGTCCCACCCCCTATAGCTCCCACAAGCCCCGTCCCCGATTGTACCCAGGAGTCACTCCCCTTCCAGAAGCCCCATCCCTTGTATTAGCCATAGGCCCCACCCGCTTACCACCCGCAAAGCCCCGCCCACATCAGGCTCCACCCCCAAGCCTTGCTCCTCCCATTGTACCCAGGAGTCACACCCCTTCCATGAGCCTCGCCCCTTGTTACCAACAAACCCCGCCCCTCGATCGTACCCAGGGGGTCACTCCCCTTCCAGAAGGCCCATCTATTACATTAGCCATAAGCCCCACCCCTTACCAACCACAAAGGCTCCACCAGCTCCGTCCACACATCAGGCTTCACCCACAAACGCTGCCCCTTAGGAGCCACACCTTTTTCATGAGCCCCGCCCTTTGTGTCGCCCACAACCCCGCCCTCCTCGAGCCCCGCCCACTAAAGCTCCACCCACAGACCCCGCCCGTCTCCACCCAGGAACCACGCCCCTGCCAAGAGCCCCGCCCCTTACAGTCTCACCCGCGGTTCCTTCTTGCCACTCTGGTTGCCCCCACGAGCCCCTCTCTGAGTCATGCTCCCACTCCAATCATGCCACATATCTCCTGCCCAATGTGAGCCCCAGAGGCCCCTCGGAGGTATAAAAGCGCCCTTAATCCTTAATTAGGCCCCACCCCAACCCATGTGGCCTACACTCGGCCAGAGGCCCCGCCCCTAAGCACTGCGGCAGTGGCCACGCCCCTACATCCGGCCCCGCCCTCACGCATTGCGGCAGCAGCCCGGGTACGTGATGCGCAGGTCCGGGCGGCCCCGCCCCATGCCCCTCCCCCACGTACTGCGGCAGCTGCCCGGGTACATGAGGCGCAGGTCCGGGTGGCCGCGGCAGCGCGCGGCGCGCAGTTCGCACTGGTCTCGGTAGGTGGCGCCGTCCGAGCCGCAGACCTGCAGGCGCACCGGGAGCTCCGCGCAGTCGGGCGTGCACTCGCAGCGCGGGCGGCCCCCCAGCAGGCGGCACGCCTTGCCCGGGCCGCAGTCCACCCCGTCGCACGAATCTGCGGACACAGGACACGCGCGTGGGGTCGGGCGCGGGGAGGGTCCCGGGGCGCGGGGCCGCGCGGAGGCCTCGGGGCCCTTCCCCGCGCGCCCCCTGCAGGGCGGAGGCGGGGGCGCCGTCCCAGGTCAGGGTCCGCCGGAGTCCGGGCGCTCGGGCTCCCGGGGGCGGGGGCGGGGGCGGTTCCGGGGTCCCCGGTCCCGGGTGCGCCTGCGCTGGGGGGCGAGGGCTGGGGTCTCTGCCCAGAATCGGGGTCCGGCCGAGCTGCACGGCCCTGGGCCGCTCCCCCTCGCGGCTGGCTGACCTCTGTGCCGATGCACGCGCTCTTCTGGGAAGGCCGGAGGGGGCCCGGCTGCGTCAGCCCCGGGTGTTCCGTCCTCGCCGGGCGCGAGTCTGGGGCTGCCAGGACCTTCCCCCAGGAGGCGTCGCGGAGGGCGGGACGCTGGACGCCCCTCCTGGCCTGGGGAGCGTTTCCAGGGGAGGGGGGTCCTCCACAGCCCTAGGCCTCCGAACCAGGAGTTCCCCTGCACCCCGAGTGTGCTCAGGCAGGGATACTGAGGTCCTGCTAGGGAAACTCTGGGGTCCCCGCCCCTGCTTTTAATACGCCGCCCATCGCCTCCCAAGTCGTCATTTTACAGATGGGGAAACTGAGGCCTGGTGGCAGATGTGAGTGCAGGGGACCAAGCACCTCAGCTTGAAAGCTGCAGCCAGGACCCCCTTTCTGTTGTCTGGGAGTCTGGTGGGGCCTCTGAACACAGATGACCGACCCCCCTTCTGTTGTCTGGGGGTCTGGTGGGGCCTCTGAACACAGATGACCGACCCCCCTTCTGTTGTCTGGGGGTCTGGTGGGGCCTTTGAACACAGATGACCGACCCCCTTTCTGTTGTCCGGGGGTCTGGTGGGGCCTCTGAACACGGCTTTTGAGTTATGTGCCAGCCTCAGTTTCTCTGTGTGTAAAGCGGGACTGACCGGGGAGTGAGTCCCACTTAGAGGATTGTCAGCGTCCCCCCACGCAGCCCCGACAGGGCATGTGGGCCGCACCTGGGCGCCCCCACACACAGTGACTCACAGGCACATCTGGAGATGCTCTGCCAGGGTGGTTTCATGCACTCGAGAACGGAAGGGGGCCTGAGCTCCCATCCCCGGGGCCAGATGAGGTTGGGGGTGGGGGGTCCTAGGCCGTCTTACACCCAGGCCAGGCACTTTTTGAAGTCTGTCCTCCCAGAAGCCAGAGCGGGGTCTGGAGGGAGCAGGAGTCTGTGGCAGTGAGTTCAGGACCACCCAGCCAGGCTGATGTGGGATTAATCACTTCTCAGAGGCCAGCGGAGTTTCTCACCCTGGCCTGCCTGTCTTCAGCCCTCAGCTCCAGCCTCCCCCTGGTCTCCCTGACCCCACCCACCAGGACCCAGCCTTAAGCCGTGGTCTCTTCTGATCCCCTCTCCCATACCAGCTCCATCTGGCAAATTCGTCATCATCCCCCTGTAATGCCCACCTCCAACAGGCCGAGCACGGTGGCACACGCCCGTAATCCCAGCACTTTGGGAGGTCAAGGCTGGCAGATCACTTGAGGTCAGGAGTTTGAGACCAGCCTGGCCAATGTGGTGAACCCCTGTCTCTGCCAAAAATATAAAAGTTAGTCGGGCATGGTGGCGGGGATGACTGTAGTCCCAGAACTGGAGAGTCCAAGGAAGGAGAATGGCTTGAACCCAGGAGGCGAAGGTTGCAGTGAGCCAAGATCCCGCCAGTGCACCGTAGCCTGGGGGTGACAGAGCGAGACTTCATCTCAAAGAAAAAAGGGGCCGGGGCACGGTGCCTCAAGCTTGTAATCCCAACACTTCAGGAGACCCAGGTGGGTGGATCACTTGAGGTTGGGAGTTTGAGACCAGCCTGACCAACGGGGATAAAGCCCCTCTCTACTCAAAATACAAAAATAGCTGGGCGTGCTGGTGGGTGCCTGCAATCCCGGCTACTTGGGAGGCTGAGGCAGGAGAATCGCTTGAACCTGGGAGGTGGAGGTTCTGGTGAGCCGAGATTGCACCACTACGCTCTGACCTGGGTGGCAAGAGGGAAGCTCCGTCTCGGGGGGCAGGGGGGCAGGGGGAAGACAAAACCGTTATCCTCCAGTTCGGAGAGTGTATCCTAACTCATTCATTTGTTCTGTGCCACCCACCAAGAGCCTGGTGTTATGTGGGAGGCATCGTCTCAGAACAGCAAATGCTCATTAAACACGCAGCTGTGACCCCACCGCAGACCCTGGAGTCTGCAGTGAAGGGCCCTGGTGTGGACATTTGGGGGTCACAGGGCAAAATGGCAAACCCACCTTCCCAGGAGCTGTAAGCAGGCCTCTGTTGACCAGGTGGGAAGAGCCACCCAGGCAGAGAGCTCAGCCCCCGAAAAGGCAGGAGTCAACTGGGGAGTCCTCAGAGCCTCTTCCTGAGTCCTGAGCTGTAAGAGGCTGAAATGTGGGACCTGGGAAGTCCCCCCTAATCTGTTTCTGAGGCTGGGATCCCCCCCTGCAGCCTCCTGCATACCCCTGGGACGGGGAGCTCACTCCCGGACGTCCTGCCCTCGACCACCTTGACTGTTGTTGGCTGATCCTGAGCTGAGATGCCTGCCCTGCTTCTGGCCTGGGGCCAGTGCAGTCTCACCTTTGCAGGGGAGGCAGTGGACAAGTCCCAAGAAGCCAAGGAGGTTGATCTTGTTCCCCGGGTGGGTGACGTTGGACCAGGCTGTGTCAATGTTGCCGGAGGCGCAGCACTCGGCCCGGGTGATGTTAGTCTGGAGCACCAGGCTGCAGGTGGCCTCCTGGCCCTGCTGCAGCCAGCAGACACCAGCTGCGGGCACAGGGACGGGGTGCTCTCCTGGTCCACTCCTGACACCCAGTCTCCAGCCCCCCACAGATGCATTGCAGGTTGTGCTCAGTAGTTACGTAGGGATGATCTACCCCAACCCAGGAAGAAGGAACAGGAAACCACATGGCTGTCCCTACCCTGGCTGTGGATCCTGGGGATCCCTCCTCCCCTCTGAGCTCCAAGGCCCCCTGCAGCCTCACCACCAACCCCCACCCATCCAGGGAGGCCCTCCCCTTTCCCTCCAAGCCCCCAGACTGGGGACTGGCACCCTGCCCAACCCCTCAAACACCACCAAACACCAGGCACTGGGCATGTCAGGGTCAGCGGGCCCGGGAGCCGCTTCTCCCACCTCTGCCCTCTGTCTAGACAGCAGCCGAGGACGAGGACGAAGGCACTCGGGAGCCCCGCGCCTGGCAGCCCCCCCCCACTGCCGGGCCCGCCTCTTACTCACTCCAACTTGGGAACATTCCCCTTGCATGAGCTCACTGTCTCCCCAGGGATGTGGCCTTCGGGGAGGGGGCTCTGCTCTCCCTTTGGCGTGGGGCTGGGGTGGGGTGGGGCTGCAGGGATGGGCGTGGGGAGGCAGAGAGCCCCCAGTTTCGTCCCCCATCCCTGGGGGCACGAATGGCCACAGCCCCCTTCCCAGAGCACTTGCTGGTTCACAGACACTGCCAGGAACCAGTTTGGGGAACTTGGCACCTATCATAGGAGGGGAAACTGAGGCCAGAAGTGGGGTTGTCTCCTGCCTGGCACCTCCCAGCAAGTCGCAGCTGTGAGTCTCCATGTCCCGTCTACCCAGGATTTGGGGAGGCTCTCAGCCCCAGCTGGAAGGCCGGGCTCCAGACACCCAGAGGTGCCTCTTGGGACGCCAGGACCGACCCAGATGGTCGCAGCTTGAATCCTGGCTTTGCCGCCCACAGGCTGTGTGACCCTGAGCCTCAGTTTCCCCATCTGGAAGACGGAGATGAAGAGAGTCCCCAGCACTACTGGGGTCGTCGGGGTTCAGGGAGGGAAGAGGTAGACACTAAGCGCCCAATAAATGTCAGCGGTCCTTGTGGTGAGAAACCTGTGCCCTGGTGACCTCCTGGTGAACCCCTTCAGGCCCTCCTGGCTTCAGCTCCCGCTGGGCACAGCCCTCACCCCCCGACATCCCCCAGCTGACAATCCGGGCAGCCCCACGTGGGTGGCCCGCCCCGCCCTCCCCTCCGGCCGCCCCACTCACCGGGCGCGGGGTCCCCCGAGCCCATGGAGCCCACGAAGCCCACGGCCCAAGCAAGGGCCCCCCAGGGCAGAGGCCAGAGTGGCCCTGGCGCCCCGGGACGCATGGCGAACGCGGAGACGGCAGCGGCACCGACTTCCCGGCGCGCGGCGGGCGCTCCCTATAAAGGTCCCGCGGGCCGCGGGCGGGGCGGGCCGCGGGGCGGGGCGCGGCGCGGGAGTGGCGGGGGCGAGGCCGTGTCCCGCGCGGGGTGGGCAGCTGGGGGCGCGCGCCTGGGTCCCCTCCCAGAGCCAGGGAATGCGTCTGGGGAGATGTGGCTGTTCCCAGGCGGAAATGGGATGGGGGTGTGAGTTCGAGGTGGTGGCGGCCTTTTGGGTGGATTGAGGGGCCTCCTCCAGGGGTCAAAGTGGGTTTGGGGGTCTTCATTTGCAGGGGTGGCCACTAGCTAGCAGGACCCCGGGAGGAGCGCATCTGGGGATCCCTGCACCCCGCTTCTGTGATTTCCATGTGGTCACTTTCATGGTCCTGAGCCCCCAACCCGCGCACCGAAGACCTCAGCCAGACATGGTTCCCTGCTCACAGTGCAAGCCGCCCACCCATCCACCTGGCCGCTGGAGCCGGCGTGTGGGTGGGGAGAGGCTGGGTGTGGGACAGACGGGGTGTGGCCGGGACAGATCCAGAGACACAGCTCCTTCCAGCATCGTGGACAACAGCAGGCCTCGCCCAGCCAAGGCCCCCGGGGAGGCCTCTGCCTGTGCGTGCGCGCGGGTGCGCCTCCCGCATGTGTGCGCACGCCTGGCTTCTGCCCCGGGCCCCCAGGCAACGCCGCCCCCAGCCCGCCAAGCCTTTGCCAACGTTCCCGTGGGTCACGTCAACAAGAATGTTTACTGGGTTTTTTTCCCCTCTCCCTCTGAGATTCAGCAGACGCTGTTTCCAGCAGAGGCGTTTCCCACAATTGATGACAGCGACATCTGCGTGGGCCCGGAGGCGCTGCGCCCGAGGGGGCTCTGGCGCAGCCGCTGGCCTTTCCTACTTTGGAGCTGATTTCGGGCCTGGGGGCCTCTGGATTTGTCAGGGCGCCCTTGACGAGCTCCAGGGTTCTGCGGAGGCCCTCGGTACTCCTCCTGCTTCTAGGGAACAGTAGGAGAACATCTGGTGGCAGGAAGGACCCTGCAGGGGGCTGGGGTACCGTGGGGACCAAGGCAGACCCCCGTCACTCCCTCACCGGGCTCCTGGTTTGGAGGAGCCATAGACAAGGCAATACGAAGACAAATCAATCTTTTTTTTTTTTTTTTTGAGACAAGAGTCTTGCTCTGTTGCCCGCGCTGAAGTGCAGTGGTGCCATCTCGGCTCACCGCAACCTCCGCCTCCTGGGTTCAAGTGATTCTCCTGCCTCAGCCTCCCGAGTAGCTGGGACTACAGTTGTCCACCCCCATGCCCGGGTAACTTTTTGTTTTTTTAGTAGATACGGGGTTTCACCATGTTTGCCAGGATGGTCTGGATCTCCTGACCTCGTGATCCACCCGTCTCGGCCTCCCAAAGTGCTGGGATCGCAGGCCTGAGCCACCGCGCCCGGCCTCAAACACAGATTAATCTATAGTTTCAAAGAGTGGTAAATGCTTCAAGGGAAATAAAAAAGGTTGATGTGGTGGCGAACATTTGGGCATCTCCTGGGGACGCCTGAGTCTGGTCGTCCGCTATTCCAGCACGGCCCCCCAAGTGTGGAAACCGAGGTGTCCAGCAGCCTCACAGCACAGCCTCTTTGCCTGGCGTGAGATCCGTGCCTACAGAAGCCACACCCATACCCTTTCCGTGACCTTAGCTGCCCAGCCAGACTGTGTCCCCCAGCAGCCAGTGGCCAGGGGCCAAGTTCCTGCCCTAGTGGCACTGAGGGAGGGCACCCCGCTGTCTTGCCCTGGCCTTGGCCCCTGGCATTCCCCCGGGATTCTCCCCGAGTTGGGGAGTGGGGCAGGGACAGGACCCTGTGTTCTCACTGAGGGTATGTGGGGGCTGGACAGTGTGACCTCGGCCAAAACCTGACCCCGCTGTAGCTCAGCCGCTCCGGCCTGGGCTGTGCGAATCAAAGGGTCATTGTCTGGCTGACGTGGGTTCCGGCCTCTCCGGGGAAACCGAGGCTCGCTGCCAGTGGCCTCCTGCTCCCTGCTCTGTCTTCCTCCCTAACCCAGAGGCTGTATGCGGGGTGACCTCAAATAGGTCACCGACCCTTTCTGGGGCGCCCCCTCCTCCTGAAACCCCTCTCTGGGGCAGTCTCCCCGCTCCCGCCTCTGCCCCTCTCCCCCGCCTGTCCAGGCCTGAGGTTCATCCTAGGACTTCCAGCCCCCAGCCTGGCCCCTGCAGCCCGCCTCTCACCCCAGCCGTAAGCCTTCTCCCTGGCTCAGACTCCCACCGCGGCGCCCCGTGTCCCTGCTCACCTCTCCAGAGTTTCATCTCCCTTGAGGTAAACCTGGACAGGGAAACAGACAGTGAGAACCCCATGCCGTTGTGTGTCAGAGGATGCCCAGATAGCAAAGGTACCCCAGGCCTGACCCAGCCTGGGGGACACTGAGGAAGACTTTCCAGAGGAAAGGGACGTGGACGTTGAGACTCGTGGAACGGCCGGGGTGTGCACTGGGCCCAGACTCTCGCACTGTGACAGTGCAGTCGGGGTTGGTCAGCAGAACACAGCCCCAGAGACCACAGGGTCCTCCGAACCCGTGGGTGTCCCACCCTCCCTGGCCATGAGGGCTCTTCAGATGGGACCGAGTTGAGGACTTTGAGAGAGGAGCTCATCCTGGGTTCTCTGGGTGGCCCACTGTCCTCAAAGGGTCCTTGGAGGAGGAGACGCCTGGCCAGGTGCAGTGGCTCACCCTTGTGGTTCTAGCACACTGGATGGGCAGATCACTTGAGATCAGGAGTTTGAAACCAGCCTGGCCAATGTGGTGAAACCCCGTCTACTAGAAATGCAATAAAAAATAGCTGGGCCTGGCCGGGCGCGGTGGCTCACGCCTGTCATCCCAGCACTTTGGGAGGCCGAGGCGGGTGGATCGCAAGGTCAAGAGATCGAGACCATCCTGGTCAACATGGTGAAACCCCGTCTCTACTAAAAATACAAAAAATTAGCTGGGCATGGTGGCGCGTGCCTGTAATCCCAGCTACTCGGGAGGCTGAGGCAGGAGAATTGCCTGAACCCAGGAGGTGGAGGTTGCGGTGAGCCGAGATCGCGCCATTGCACTCCAGCCTGGGTAACAAGAGGGAAACTCCGTCTCAAAAAACAAAGAAAAAGAATCGCTGGGCATGGTGGCGTGCGCCTGTAATCCCAGCTGCTTGGGAGGCTGAGGCAGGGGAGTGGCTTGAACCCAGAAGGCAGAGGTTGCGGTGATCTGAGATCATGCCATTACACTCTATGGTGATGACACAGTGAGACTCCATCTCAGACCCGGCGCGGCGGCTCGCGCCTGTAGTCCCAGCACTTTGGGAGGCCAAGGTGGGCGGATCACCTGAGGTCAGGAGTTCAAGACCAGCCTGACCAACATGGAGAAACCCCGTCTCTACCAAAAATACAAAATTAGCTGGGCATGGTGGCGCGTGCCTGTAATCCCAGCTACTCGGGAGGCTGAGGCAGGAGAATCGCCTGAACCCAGGAGGCGGAGGTCGCAGTGAGCCGAGATCGCACCATTGCACTCCAGCCTGGGTAACGAGAGCGAAACTCCGTCTCAAAAAAAAAAAAAGAGACCACCTTCTTGCTATGGTTAGAGACAGCACTAGAGAAGAACTTGGCTGCTGTTGGGGGATTTGGACATGAAGGGAGGGGCTGGAGCCAGGGAATGTGGCGGCCTCTGGAAGCCGGGAAAGGCGTGGAACAGATTCTCTCCTGCAAGCGCCAGAAGGAACGAAGCTCTGCCAATACCTTGATCTTCCCCCAGCCAGACCCATGTGGAACTCTTTTCTCTGTTTGTTTTTTTTCAGATGGAGTCTCGCTCTGCCAGCCAGGCTGGAGTGCAGTTGTGAGATCTCAGCTCACCGCAACCTCCGCCCCCTGGGTTCCAGTGATTCTCCTGCCTCAGCTTCCCGAGTAGCTGGGATTACAGGCGCCTGCCACTGTGATTGGCTAATTTTTGTATTTTTAGTAGAGACCGGGTTTCGCCATGTTGGCCAGACTGGTCTCGAACTCCTGACCTCAGGTGATCCGCCCACCTCGGTCTCACAAGGTGCTGGGATCACAGGCGTGAGACACCGCCCCACTGGTGTGTTGCTTTAAGCCACGTAGTTTGTGCAGCTGTTGGTGCCCACTGTGTACCAGGCCCTGGGACCCCTCTATGCCTGTTTCTTTACTTTTCTTTTTTTAATTTTTTATGTTTTTTTTTTTTTTTTGAGACGGAGTTTCGCTCTTGTCACCCAGGCTGGAGTGCAATGGCGCGATCTCAGCTCACTGCAACCTCCACCTCCCGGGTTCAAGTGATTCTCCTGTCTCAGCCTCCTGAGTAGCTGGGATTTACAGGCACGTGCCACCCTGCCCAGCTAATTTCTGTATTTTTAGAAGAGACAGGGTTTCACCATGTTAACCAGGCTGGTCTTGAACTCCTGACCTCAGGTGATCTGCCTGCCTCACCCTCCCAAAGTACCGGGATCAGAGGCATGAGCCACCACGCCCAGCATCTTTTTTTTTTTTTTTTTTGAGACAGAATTTTGCTCTTGTCGCCCAGGCTGGAGTGCAGTGGCAAAGTCTCAGCTCACTGCAACCTCTGCCTCCCGGGTTCAAGGGATTCTCGTGCCTCAGCTAATTTTTCTGTTAATCACCTGGTTAATAGGTGCTCGCCCAGGTCGGGCCCATGATGAGGCCCCTTTGCTGCGTGCCGGGACGCTAGGCAGGCACCCAATTTACAGCTGCCCAAATGAGGTTGGAGGCTGGGAGGTGATTTTCTCGGAGTCACAGAGCCCTGCAGAGTCAGACCTGGGGTCAGCACCAGGTGTGCAAGATTCCAGGACCCGTGTGCCTCCCACAGACAGCACGATGAGGGCAAGCCCAGGGCTGGATTCCCTGCTGCCCGCAGCACCTTATTGTCCTTTGGGGAATTATCTCCTATCCTCCCAGCCCAAGGGACCTCAGGAGTGGACACCCACCCACTCACTCCCAGCCAATTAGTGAGGCTTATCTGGCACA